TTGGAGTGCTAGAAGTATAAATTCGTAGTATTATAAATTTGTTGAAACAGTTTTTTTAAATCTGTTTATTACTTAAAGGTGAGGTTATTATTGCTAATAAGTATTTTGAATATTTCAGCTGTTACCAGTTCACATATTACTAATTCCTTTTTGAATTGGGAGCAATCATAAAGCCAATCTGAAAATCACACAGTAAGTAGTTCGCAGATGTTCTCTTCAAATTCATGGAAGAAATAATATGAAGATGCGACATGTAAGCCAAATTAAAGTATGAACGAAGTTTGTGTTAAAATTCCTATATTGCCGCCTCAAACAAAAAAAATAAGATGACCTGTGATTTCGCTTAACTTATACACAGTAGGTTAAACAAAGCTTTTAAGAATCAAAGATGCCAAATTTATATACATTTAAACCTATCACAGCCAAACTCTTGAGAGACTTTTGTCAATTGTTGCCATATTTTCCCAAAAGTGTAGGACGGGGATGTTGTACATAAAATCGAGCGAATTTTGTTTTACTTAACAATTTCAGTGGGGCAAATCAGGGAAACATAAACACAGGATAATGATAGGAATCAATTTAGCCCGTCAGTTCGAGCACACTGGGTATTCAGGATTTTTAGAAAATTTTCGAGTATGCAGTTTTGTAGCCGATTCAAATTTAATACAACCAAGTGCAAGTTTCACGTCCCTTAAAAATTACCGTTGATTTTTTATAAATTTTTTTTTGTCGATGGTGTTGAGCATTTTCTTCCATATTATGCATAAACAAAATTAATTTTTATATGGGGAAAGATGCGCAACACCCTCGACAAAAAAAATCTAAAAAAAATCAATGGTAACTTTCTGCAAGCTTTAAAACTTTTATAAGTTTGCGTTATATACCGGATTATATTTTAAATGGAAATTATTAAAAATAAATAAATAAGCATAAGTTGCAAACAATATCATTTTGAATTTGGCGACTGACTACCTTAATCACTGCAGCTGTATGTATATTGAGGTGCATTTCTCTCCATCGGAATTATAACATTTGTTATATTATAAAGCAATAACCAAAATATTTCGAAAAAATATTAAAATTTACTTGAATTAGACTAGTCTGAGAATACCTCAAAAAATAGTCTTTTATTGAATTAAATTTGTTTTTGAAATACTTTTTTTCAAAAACTCTCCTCAGCCGATAGGGGAGTTTCAACTTACAAAGGCTGCAGAAAAATGTTTAAAAAATATTTCAACGGAATCAAAGTAATTAGACTTTTCTAGGAATTTTCAAATCGGCTTAGCTCAAGTAAATATATTCCGTAAATCTATCTATGCGGTTCCGACTTAGCCAATTAATATTTGTATTTTTTTATTTACTTAATTTATCTATTTTCGGTTTCTTAACAAAAAATTATTCACCCAAAAAATTGGGAGAATCTAGAATACTTACAACTATGTAATTTCTAACTATAAGCTTTCTATTTCTGAGAGAGGAAAGTGGGCAACATTTAATGAATAGGCACATATTTAAATTCATCAAAATCGGTTGGTAATGAGACAATTTTTTACCATTTTCAGCTTAACAAATTTTTCCATCCCCATAGTCGAAACACAGTGAGTCGTTTGTCGAAAGACATGCAAAGATTCTGAAAGTCAACCACAAAATAAAGTAAGACTTGGTCTTAAAACGCCATTAGTAAAATTTTTTCAATTCAAAGGGGTCTTCTAATTTATTTCACATTTCAACTAAAAAATTTTTGCCAGCTCTATACTACTTTAAAAACAAGGTGAAGATTAGAGAAAATGCTAGTAAAGACCATTTTCAATTTCCTTGTTGCCTAATAAACTTGGAAGCCGTATTTTACTTTTGTACTTTTTGTTATCATTTACTAAGTTATTCTTCCAAGTTCTCGAATGTACTAAAACCAATTAAAATGGTTTAAAAATTTCACTTTCATAGTATTTGCAATGATGAATACCAGATAGTTTAAACATTTTTTACTTAAGGAGCATTAAAACTATTTTCCACGTTTTTAAATGCGTTTTTTGTAAAGTGAGAACAGCCTTTGAAATTATTTTCGGTATTATCTTTTAGTATTTTAGAAGACATGTTTCGAATCGAATATTTTTTAAACTTTTTTCGTGCTCATCATGGATTTTTAAAAAAATTTTAGCATCCACAAAATTTCCGTATGTTTTTTCCAATTTAACGGATGTCAGGTTTATTAACGCTGTTCAAGCCAATAGCATTTCTTCTTATCTTACAGAAACCAGAAAGCCAATTTTATATTTTTTTGTATTTTTTTCTGCTTCAATTAAACAAAACACTCGCAAAATCAAAAATTTCAGCGAAAACCTTTTAGCAGGGCGCGTCCTGTGCATTAAACGAAACTTTTTTCGGTATACCATTTATCACCTTCTCAAAAAAATAAAATTGCTCGAAAGCCACTTTGCACTTTTTCGCTTCAAAAAAAATATATATATATATCCTTTCACTTTAGGTCACCTGAATTTCCAGCACTTGCACCTTAAATTTGCATTTATTTCACACCCACACACCCGCACTTAGGTGGAAAATGTCTACATTTTCTGCTGGTACACAAATATCAAACACTCAGGATTTAGCAAAAATTGTAGCATACTTTTGCGTGCAGCAATTTTCCCGTATCCCATTGCATGTACACTCAGCAGCGCGCACTAGAACAATATACTTGGCGAGGTCGTCGCCGTCATCGTCAACCATAGCGAGCCGCCATAGCTCAAAACAACTTGAGGCAGTACAGCTGGGGAAGTGGCGAGCCGTAATTGTCTGAGCAGGTGCAAAAGAGAGGCTCCTTATGCAGAGAAGAGAAATTGCGGTAAATATAAAAGGAATTGGATTTTCAAAAGCAATTCGGTATTTACTCTTACAATTTATAGCTCACTGAGTGCAGGCATAATCTCCAACCGGACACTCAGCTACTCTCTCTCTCTCTCTCTCTTCTGCTTTGGTAAACGCTTAGCCGAAAGCTAGATTTCGTTTACAATAACACCTTTAGTGTGTCAAATAAACATAAAGTGGCTTTGGTATGTATGTATGTATGTACGTACATAGGTCGTCGCGCAAAGCCAAAGGACAGCAGGTATGACGCAGTAAATTATGCAAGTTTGTTGTAGTGCATAAAACTGAAACAGTCTGGCAACGCCAAAACGCTACATGGCATACATTTGGGCGCCCGAGCAACTGTTTGCCTTATTTAACAGATGTGCGCGCATGCAAGCACTGAATTTTTTAGCGTGGCGTTGAAAACATACTTTTACTCGTATGAGTTATTTATATATACGTATGTGTGTACATTAGAGTGGTCCAACTTTTGTATTGGGAAAAAAATTTCCTCCTAGAACACGGGGCACCCCCTTATTTTTCTCCTTTAAATTTTCTACGATGACCAGCAGATGGTGCTCAATCAGCTTGAAATGCGCTACTGGATCTCTACGAAACTGGCAAAAATATTGGTGATTTTTTAAAAAAAACTACTGTTGCTATGACAACTGAAGCTTTTGATATTTTTTTAGGTAATATGAATTTGAAATGTTCTTAGGTTGCTTAACCAATTGTTTGATTAATATATCGAGCCCTAGCCGCCAAAATAACGTAAGCGACTTTTTTTTCAACATTTTCTTTTTGATGCAGAAATGCATCTAGATGCCCTAGGAATATTTCTGCATCAAAAAGAAAATTTTGAAAAAAATGTCGCTTGAGTTATTTTGGCGGTTAGGGCTCGATATGTACACAATATTTCTACAGTAAAATATGAGCATCATTAAGCATGCCCTAAATTTATACTTATAACGGTATTGCTTGGCACCAGCACCTGTTTCGGCAAGAGGAAAAAATTTAGAAGGTGCCCCAAACCCAATCTCGAAAAAAATTCGTTTGCACCACTCTAATGTACACATTTATTTATACGTACATATGTACATATGCAAATATATTTATATTTACATACGAGTATGCTCACACCTACATACATACATACATGCAGTCACACCCACCTAAAAACGAGTAGCACAAAGCCCAAACCAAATCCTCTGTCTAACCTTTGCATTAGTCTTATCATACGAATTGTTTACTCGCCCGCTCGCCCGCTCGCCCACCCACCCAATCGTCTGCCCTGCCATTGTTGCGTGTGTGTAAAATTGTTCAACGCCGTTATTTACTCTGATTATCCTTTAACCTAAAGTCACAAAGCAAACGCACACATGCAGCACATTTTCGTTTTCAATCATGAAATTCTTTGGGTTTATCTTTTCTTTTTTTTATTCCGGAATCGTTTGTTTTTCTTTACTCGGAGCACGCTTTAATGCAATAGAGTAAATCTAACAAATGACGAAAACAA